CCGCGCCCACCTCAAATTGGTACCATACTTACATCATAATTTATCATTATTATCGGACAAGGGTCATGTAGTATTCCTTCTTGCATCATATTTACACATCCCATTAATTTTATTTTTTCATGAGAACAACTTTGCCTGCCTCCTATAATCTCCTCGCCTTGACCCGTGTATTTTTATTGCCATCATATAATCACAAATTTCCACAATCACTCACCATATGTCCCCTTTTTCGGCATCAGCACTCCACATTTTGCTCCTCGGTTTCTTTTACATTAGGTGCAATGATATTTTAACTTCTCTCACCCTCAATAGGTCGCACATTTGTGGTATTTTGACCCAGTCCTCTCTATGGAAAACCCCCTCATATATTATAATTGTCAGTATTACATTCCTCTTTATTGTGACCAAATCTTCCGCAACCCGTACAATGCAATTTTCCTTGTTTACCCGGACAATACGAGGCTATATGTCCAAATTTTCCACATTTAAAACATTTAATTTCCCGACAATCCCGGACCATATGTCTTTGTCTTCCGCAATTATAAGAATTTTAATTCATATTCCCTCTTCTACGAGAATCAATACCCCGTCTCTTTCCATTCTTCCTCCCTGTGAATTCTCTCTTGATCCCCTATGCATTCCCAATATTTGATTATTGTAGGACTTTCGACTCTCTGGTCTATGGACTGATTCATTTAAGCTTTTCACACCCGTGTTATAAAAAATTTATGATTAACTTCAAAAAAAATATTTTGTTATCAACAGATAAGATAATATCAATAGAGTAAATAGTCCAATGATACATATATACATCCATCACTTTAAAAAAAACTTATTTCCGATAAGATTTGGTTAAATTTACGTCTTTAAAACTTTATAATTCACGTTTACGATGATCTCTTTAACTATTTCTCAGGGGGGATTGCATACAATCCTTATGCATTTATAGTAAATAAGGTAAATTAATTTACAGGGTTTCCCATCCAAAAAAGGAAAAGTCCCAATCAAAAAAGGAAAAGGTTCAATCAAAAAAGGAAAAGTGTCAATCGAAAAAGGAAAATTCCCAAAAGAAAAGGAAAAGGGTCAATCAAAAAAGGAAAATTCCCATTCAAAAAAGGAAAATCGTAATTTTTTTAAAAAATTATATATACATTTCAATTTTTCTTAAATTTATTTATTTTTGTCATTTTTTCTTATTTTATTTCTAACTTTTTGCGATTTCTTTATTTTATTTGTATCTTTTCTCACTATATCTTTTCTCAATTTTTTTTCTTCTTATTTTTGTGGTTTGACTGAAAGTCTCCATTCTTGGTCTGGATGGGTATGACTTGGTCTGAGGGGGGGAAGGGGATGTAAAAATAAATTTTTTGATATGAGTATCAAATAAAGGCTAATTTTAATATGGTCTAACTGAAAGTCTTCCTTCTTGGTCTGGATGGGTATGACTTGGTCTGAGGGTGGTTGGGAGGGGTAAAAAATAAAATTTTTTGATATGGGTATCAAATAAAAGCTAATAAAAATATTTTTTTATTGTAATAATAATAATCACGCATAAAGGGCGGGTCTAGGTCTTGGGGGGTCAGGAATATTTTTATCACCACAAAATATCGATATGGGTATCAAATAAAATCTAATTTAAATATCTTTAGATTTAAATTATTCATTTTTTGTCTTGATGGGTATGACTGTCATGCCCTCAACATACGGGGTTTCCCATTTAAAAAAGGAAAAGGTCCAATCTAAAAAGGGAAAGTTTCAATCTTAAAAGGAAAATTCCCGTTCATAAAGGAAAATCGTAATTTTTTATAATTTTCTTAAAATAATTATAAATTTTTCAATTTTTCTTAAATTTTATTTTTACACCCCCTCCCCCCCCCCATTCTCAGACCAAGTCATACCCATCCAGACCAAGAATGAAGACTAGTCAAACCACAAAAATGAGAAGAAAAAAAGTGAGAAAAGATACAAATAAAATAAAGAAATCGCAAAAAGTTAGAAATAAAATAAGAAGGAATGACAAAAATAAATAAATTTAAGAAAAATTGAAAAGTTTATATATTTTTTTTAAAAAATTACGATTTTCCTTTTTTGAATGGGAATTTTCCTTTTTTGATTGACCCTTTTCCTTTTCTTTTGGGAATTTTCCTTTTTCAATTGACACTTTTCCTTTTTTGATTGGACCTTTTCCTTTTTTGTTTGACACTTTTCCTTTTTTGATTGAACCTTTTCCTTTTTTGTTTGACACTTTTCCTTTTTTGATTGACCCTTTTCCTTAACCTTTGGGACTTTTCCTTTTTTGATTGACAATTTTCCTTTTTTGATCGGACCTTTTCCTTTTTTGATTGAACTTTTTCCTTTTTTGATTGGACCTTTTCCTTTTTTGTTTGACACTTTTCCTTTTTTGATTGAACCTTTTCCTTTTTTGATTGGGACTTTTCCTTTTTTGGATGGGAAACCCTGTAATTCATATTCTAAAAAGTAATTCAAGCACACTCACATTAGTTGATAGTATTTAGTAGAACATTACTTATATTATTCTTTTAAAATATACGAAAAGATTACCATTACAATCAAAAACTCGTAATTGCGTGGGAATATCGAAGCCAATTGAGAATAATTTTTTGGGGAGGAGGGGATAGGTATAGGCCTTTAATTGGGGGGTTAGCTTCCAGTCAATATTTTGTCATGTAGATTATGGGTAGGATGTAGGCATTTAAGGAGATAGAATAAATTTATGGGGAGGGGGGAGTGTTATCTTTTAATTTTTTAGCTGAAGGGCAAAATATTTATATGTAAAAAATAGTTTGAAACTTTAATATCCATATATTATTATCATAAACTTATATAAACATAGATTGCTCAACGTCGAATTGGACAATGTTATAAAACCATTCATTTGTAAAAGAGCTGGTTTCATATTATCCTATATCTTAATAAAAAATGTCATATTAGTCTGCAAATTTTTGTAGCAATGGAAGTCCAATAAATAAGGATGTATCTTTTAACAAGTACTTAATAGTTAATGAAATATATAAGCATTTATCTATATATTTTTTTGATTTTATTAATAATTACTAGCTAATAGCCCATCAAGAATGACGGAGAATTAGAATTTTCTTCTTTATTCAATGATGGATGAATTGAATGAAATTCATTATTAGGATTTGATAAAAGGTCTTGTAAAAAAGGAATATTTGATGGTATCTAAGTTTACTCTTATAACAGCAATTCTTGAAACTGCCATCTGAGGGTTTTTCCAAGGAAAAATTTAGAGAATAAAACATTGGCACTTAGCGTTGAGCACCAAAATAATATTCTTGTATCAATGATCGTTGTGCAGGAATATCTATCTAAAATAAATAATATAAATTGTAATTACAATTTAGTACTTTTATAAATAAAATAAATCTGAGGCTTGCTAAAAATTATACATACAATTAATATTTTTGTAAATAAAACAAATCAGAGACCTGCAGGCCTGGCTCTGTTATAAACATGTGCTAGACCTATTATAATTTTTTTTTTAAATATTCGTGCTGGGAAATTTCTGATTCCCATTATCAAATAATGATAAAATTTATTATTTATCCATCATTGAATAAGGAAATATTCTGCAGCCCGTTATTCTTGACTGGCTATCAGTTAGTTAAAAATAATGTATATTATTGTGTCAATTGTTTAGTATGTACCAAAAAATCAAACCTCCCTCTCCTCCCTTAACCTATTAGAACTTTTAAATATGATAATTTTTATTTAAAAATTTTCACTTTGTTTGTTGATAGAGAACTCAGAAAAATAAAGAGAAATATCTGAATCACAGCACAGCTCTCATCAAAAATGACAGGGAATTGGGGAATTTTATCCTATATTTGATGATGGATAAATCAGCCTAAATCAGAAAAATAAAGGGGAAATTTTTAAATTATCAATCAACGAATATGGGAGAAAATTCTGATTTCACTATTATCTTGACGGGCAAAATGAATAAAATGAAAGATAAAATAACGAAGTGCTTCATAATCATGAATGGCTCAAAGTTAACTGGTTTATAGAAGGATATAGATACTTAATGTTTTATGAGGAGGAGATGAAGTATCATAAATTAAAAGTTGCATGTGAGAAATATATGATATTTCAAATACATTTAATTGATTTTAGTTTAATTATTTAAATCTTTTTTAGGAATAGGTTTATTTGTCAAAAGTGGTAAAATATTTACCAATACAACTTATAGATTTTTATTCAACTTTATAATTTTGTATCTTGAGTCTTTATACTCAGTCCAGACATAATGATATATTATCTGAGAGATCATAATTTTAATTTTTCAAACATTTTTGATGGTAGAATATCTATATTTAAAATAAAATTTTGTATATTGTTCTTAAATAAATTACCAATATCTCACTTCCTCTTCAACGAACAATAAAAATATTTATTCTAGTTATAAAACAAACTGATCTCCCAGATAACAATTTTATGTCTGGATTGAGTATATAGGATCAAGACCCAAAAATTTCAAAGATTATAAAAAGTTAAAGGCATAAATATTTTACCCTATAAAGAGGTCAAATAATTTAGCTAAAATCAAATTAAGATTATCTGATACTTGGGACAAAACAACTAGAATTAAAAAAAATGGGCTATGGTTGAGCTTAAAAAAAATAGATCAGATTGGTTAAATTCTTTTTAACTAACATATGATAAAATTCAAAATTTATTATAAACCTCTCTTTATTTTATCACATATATATATTTACAATTATATGGGTTATCATTTGAAGCTTTCTTGAGTATCATTGAAATCTTTAAAAAAAGAGGTTATAATTTAATTTGTTTTCCATATATTATAGTACATTAGTTATTTTCTTAATCCCTCTAATAGGTTTCTTAAATTTATGTTATCCTAATTTTATTTCAAATATTATATCATAAATAAAATTAAGGTAAATCTTATACACATTCAATAAACAATAAATTAAGTTAAGTAAAATTATTACTTTAAAAGTATTTTGTAATGAGATATCTACTGGGTAAAACTCCTATATACTTGGCAAGTTGCTATTATTTAAAATTTAAAAGTAAGGTAGGTTAAAAAAAAAAATTATTACTTTGTCTAACTCCTATATTATGGTTGTTCTCCTTATCATTCGATTTATTTTTCAAAATATGGAAACATTAAACATATTAAATATAGCGAGTTATCATGTGGAAATGATGTGTCATGTGATAAAATGTTATTAATAATCATGGGTGTTAGTTTTAGTATATTTTATTAATTATCATGGGTGTTAGTTCTAGTATATTTTACTAAATTCACAGGCGTTAGTTATAGTCAAGGCCTATAAGAAGATGTTTATGATATGTGAATTGAAAGTAAGTGCATGAATGTTTAAATTTGGTATGATATTATTATTGGACCAAATAAGCTATGATGATTTTTAGTGGACCAATATTTTTCAAAAGAACACTATTGGCTAAATTTGATTTACGTTTGACAAGGCTTTTATCTATATTATTATATATTTATATGTAAATGGTATATTATATCAATAAAACATCATGAAAATAATGAAATAATAATAATTATCCTATAGGAGACTTAATAAACTAATGAATCTAGGCCCCTTGTTTGAGGCTTGTTAAAGCAAAATTTACTTTTTCTAGAATCAATCTTGAAATTGATAAATAATTTAATAAATCCTTGCTTTTGTGTTACATTTCCCGGCGCTATTATAACTTCAATTCTTTTCTTATTTTAAAATTTTGGGGAAAAATATATATTCTCACAATCACTACAATTTTTGTTTGAATGTTTTTATTATTAATTAATATTAAAGTTACTAGTTACTTGTAATTAATAGTTACCGAAAATAAAGTATTAAATAAAATATATACAAAATTAAATTGATGAATGATTTCCGAAAATTGTAGTTTGTTCATCAATCTTATTCGTGATAATTGCTATAACTGAAAAACATACTTCAAGACCCAACATTTGGCATTTCAGATAATTTTATTGAATTTGATTCATTTCTACAATATGATTATTTTATTCTATTTTAACTATATCATCAGAATTATCTTCGAATACCACAAATTTTGTGGGTGAATAGGTATATAACAGTCTTGGATTTTCATCAAGTACAATTACATGGTCTAGATTATATAAGGGATCATAATCATCAATGTCATTGATAATTGGTTGTGACTTATTATGTGACTTACGGGAAATAATTGGTTGTGGCTTACGGGGAATAATTGGTTCTGACTTTGTAGGGGAATCAGAATTTTCATCTAATACCACGAATTTTGTTGGTGAATAACTATATAATAACCTTGGATTTATATCAAGTATAACCACATCATCAATATTGTATAAGGCATCATAATCAAAATTACTCATATCTGGGTCATAAATCGGCTGTGAGTTAGTAGAAGTCGATATTAATTCTGGCGTAGATTGAGAAACTTTTGACTTCCTCAAATAATTCTTATTATTACCTTATAATAAAAGTTGAATTAAATGACCCATAGTATATAAAACTGAATAATTTACTTTTATTAACTTATGAATACAATGAATTTAATTCCTTATTTCCAGAATTGTTAAAGGTAGAAAACTACTAGCGCACTACTTAAATTATCTTCTCTCAATGCCATAATTTAAGTTTAGATTATTGTAATTATATATAGCGATGCAAAATCGCTCTGAGTACATTTTTAAAAATGGCAAACTCGGTACGGAAAAATATTACGCAAGTCTGAAGATTTTGCTCATAGATGGCACATTTGGACGTCTATTAGAGATAACTCAAAGCTTAGGAAATATTTTTCTAATCAGCCCAAATGGAGCGATTTTGCATCGCTAGTTATATAGGAAGAAGTAAGGTAATTTATAATTTTTCCGATTCTGATTGAATAATTTATTCTAACTTAAAGGCTAAAAGATTTATTAAATTTTAATGATTAAGATATAAATTAAATACTAATTTTTTTCACGAATTAGATTCCTCAATTTTTACAATGATCTTAATGTGTTGGCTATCATGATTCATCCACATTTTAATATCAACCCATTTGGATCTAAAGATAAGTATGATAGACTCATGATATAATGAATAATCTTATACCAAACAAGGATGCATTAGTTACAACCCCCAAAACTACTTCTTCAGATAATTTTTTTGTAATAAAGGATACTAATCTAAGAAAATCTCTTAGATGCCATTTTTTTATTTACAAAATACTCAAAAGGAAATATGATTTATAAAATTAAATACTCCATTTTCTCATGCTAGTGCTGAGCGATAATATAGCAAGGCAAAGCCTATTCTTAGTGATCGCTAGTCTAGACTTGGATGTAACAAAATAAATAAAAAAATAAATATTACCAAAAATAGTTATTTTTTATTACATTAATTTGAGTCATTTTATATAAATATAACTAATTATATTCAAATATTTGTATATTTTGATTTTAATATATACAATTAAATTATAACCAAATAATAAAACAAATTTATTTGTAATTTTTATTTTATAAATAGCTAAAGCTACTTAATAGTAACTAATATCGCGCTACTTTGATGGGTAAAATATATTAAAATTTGTAGAATTTAAAAAAAAGTTTGTACAAAATAATTATAACCTACTTTTGACATACTCTAATTCGAGATTTGAACCATCATTCTGTTTTAGTAAAAATAATTGGTTCCATTTCACATAAAATAATAAAGCTAAACTTATTAATGTTCCTAGGAAAATACCAATGAATGCTGTAAAAATCAAAGATAATAATTCTCCATCTATTTGATCTAAAGGAATATCATATGAATTAAGATATGATGTTGAAGTCTTTTCCAAATTTCCATCATCTTTTTGCATAACCATTGTGGTAATATTACTCTGCTATTATATTAATTGTTAATAAATTCTATAAAAAAAATGATAATGTTCTAAAATGAATACATTTAAATGATGTATAGTAATAGTATTAATTGACGAGTCTTACTAACAAAACCAAATTTAACCAATTAAATATTAAGAATGTGTCTAATTACAATAATTTTTAATTTGTTACAACAGAGTTTTAAAAAAAATTTTCAAAGAATTTAAAAAGTTTAAGAAAAGAAGAAAATAGATTAAAAATGACTTAACGAAGATCGCAAAAAATTAAAAATAAAATAAGAAGGAAAATTTAAGGACCAAATATTTAAAAAATTATATTTCAGGGTCATAGAAATAAAATGACAAGAAAATTTTTTTTAAAATCATTTAAAAATAACGATTTTCCTTTTATTATATACAATAGAACTTTACTAATATTTTGAACATTTAAATAAGAAAATAAAATTATATAATAATAACAGATAATGAATATGAACGTATAAATATCTAAAATGGCGCATAAGGTATATGTACGAAAAATTTAAAAAAAAAATGAAGACCAGAGATGGTATAAAGCGAGGAAAAAAAATAGGAAGTACAAAGTGTCTAGGATAGCTCTTTGGCTACTAGACTACCATTGCAGCTAATGTAATTGGCTTTAAGGATTGCTATGGCAAACCTTTGTCGAAAAAAAACCCTCTCGAGATTCTTCTGAGTGTTTGCTGATTTGAGATTCTTAATTTTTGAAAAAAGCTAAGGCAAATTTGCCGAAGGTAACCAGCGTCGTAGAAATGATTGGAATGAAACAATGGTCATTATTAATTTCTGTGTATTTTGAGGTTTTAAGCTGTTACTTCTGCTCAATGATGTTTAGGGCTTGGTTAGATAGAGTAAGGGGGTCAATACATGAATAGTCCCATACCAATAATTGGCCTCCCCTCCACAAAATTTAGTAATCTCGACAAGTCGTTTACCATCAGATCTGAAAAGACCCTGGGGTTCTAGTATGGATGGGATTTGTGCTGATTTCAAGGCATGTTGGATGATTGAATTACATTGCCTGCGACTGATGAATTGACCATTGCAGGAGCGACAATGTAAACTATTCCATTAGTGTCAACGGGCGAGTAACAACCTATACAGATGCGAGGGTGGGCGATTGAGCAAAAGTTGAAATTGAAGATTGACAGAAAAAATGGTCTCGAGAAACTCATGTCCAGTATCATTGAGCAGGGAAGAGAATAGGGTGCGGTCAGTTAATTGCATGTTATATAAGAGAGTTTCAACGCAGAGAGCAACTACCGGAACATCTCAGTCCTCCTGTCTATGGGTTGTGGGGAGATGAGAATCAACATTGATCCTAGTTTTCCAAGTATTTATGGCCATGGGAATTTTCCTTCTACGATTGGCATTTTCTTTTTCACCTGTGATTTTCCTTTTATTGTGGCTTTCCTTTTATCCTATAACTTTTCCTATTCATTGATTGGTACTTTTCTTTTTTAAACGGACCTTTTTCTTTTTTTGATTGATACTTTTCTCTTTTATTTATACTTTTATTTTTGTGATCGAACCTTTTTCTTTTTTGATTGGACCTTTTCCTTTTTTAATTGATCCTTTCCCTTTTTTGACCGGACCTTTTCATCCAAGATTGGCACTTTTACATTTTTGATTGAGACTTTTCCTGGATGGAAAACCCTGTAAATTCGCTTTCTTCTTAAAAAAAATATGTTAGAACTTTCTTTCCTTATTGATAAACTTGCGGGTAAGAGTTTTACTCATGGATTTTTTTATCTATCGATATGATTAATTATATTTAACCTAAACTTTTTAAAATTCTTTATTAAATGTTTCTCTTCTTAATTTTATTTTAACTATAATTTTTGACTTATTTTATTGAATATCGTTTGCTTATAAAAATAGGTATGGATGATGTATATAATGACGGAATATTTAAATTATTTGTTTATAGTTTTAGTTTTAAATGAATTTAACAGATATACCAATATCCCTGATACGAAATTTCCGCCCTTTCTGCAAAAGAAGTTATACATTAGAGAGTGATGTGGTCGAGTATAATAAAAGAATTTCACAAAATATTGTGCCATATTATAATGTTAATTATATCGAACAACCCAAATACATTTACCGTCCTAAACACTATAACAAGCAACAAAATTATGCAAATTATGGAATGGTTATACATCAACCACTAAATCCAAATTTACTTCCGTGTTATGACGTGAAGAGTGAAAAAATGCATGATTTTCAACAGAATTTATTTGATTCGAATCTCATTATGGAAAAATGGAATTTAAAACTCGATTCTAACTTTGAAAATGTAAAATTAAAT